GGTTTAAATGCGAAGAACATGATATTGAATCAATTGAAACGTTTTCCCCCTAAATTAAAAGAGGGAACCGCCAATTTTAAAAAAATGAGTAATAAAAACCGAAGGTTCGATTTTTTTTCCCCCTGTTGGGTGGCGTATTACACGACCGGGAGAAACCAACCGAAAAACCTTCTGCGTTCGGCCACCAGCCACCCTAAACCCCCGCTTAGCGCCAATTTATTGCAGAATTAAACTACTGAACCTATTCCATTATGGCATTAACTACTAAAACAATGCACCTAAGGGACAAGCTATTATTAAACAAACCTGCAAGACTATGTTTAAAAACAGTATTTTGTTCTATTAATTAAAAAATTATTGTTTTTGATAAAAAAAAAAAAAAAACAAACTGTCAAAATTAAAAGTGACAAAATATTATTATTAACAGTTCTTATTATTAAGTTTTAATGTGAAAAGAAAAATGTTTGACAAACTTCTTCAACTGCAGAAGAACATAATTGATTATTTTTTTACTTTAGAACTTCCATTTTGAAAATACTTATTACTACCTTTTAATTATTTTCACAGAAAAATCTTTTGGACAAGAGAAGAAATTTAAAATTGCAGTTCTTATACATATATAAAATAGCCAATGCAATATTTTTTTACTAAAAGTATGACTAACCTTATTTTCACAATTTACACAATACAGAATATAATAACTGTATATTTATATTGAAAAAATTTATTTTCAATTTTAACATAGATAAATTTATAGAAACAAAAATAAAATAAAACAAGAATGACATACGAAAGAAAATTTTACTTTGAAAGCTAAATTTTAACGAAAGAAATTTTCCTTTCTATTCAAAATAAATTAACTGAAAATAAACTGAAAAAACACGTAAAATTTAATTCGTGAAACACATTATGAGCACGGAAAAATAAAATAAAATAAACTTAGTTTGTTATTAGATTGCAATGCAAATTAATCATATTATAAATTTAAATGATTGAAATTGTTTATTTCTAAAAAGATTTTAGATAAGCTTACTCTTATCTATTGACCGTTGCTTTCACAGTATCCCTCATCTCTCTTTAGTTCTTACCCTAAATCCCTGCGTTAACTTAAAACGAGATTTTCCTTCACATAACACAGCTTCCGCTGCGTTTTCGTTATAATACTGTTTTGTGCAATTTTTTCGCGTTACAAATGCAGCGTGTCAGTTTGTGAAATAATGGGAGAATATTCCTAGAACTTTAGGCAACGCGCGCTATAAATTTCGTTACTCGTCTGTACTGCGATTGGTCTAAAGATCCTTGAAGCTTTGTCCCCTTTCAATAAAGTCAAATGGACCCACCCTCCTACCAACTGAGGAGCAGAGAATGGCGTTCTCCGATAAGTTGAAAACGGCTGACCATACCGGTTTTTTTTAGTCAATATTGTTCGCTCAAGTTGTAGACGGATCCAGTAATCGTAGAATAGGCGTCCTGGGTACCTGGGCAATGAGGCACTACTCCTAATCGAATTATAAGTTTTCTAATTGATACTTCACATTAACTGGGTAGTGAAGTTATAATAAGTATTAAAGCATAAAGATAATGATTTAAATATTTGACGCTTAAAGTTTTTGATATTTTTTCAAAAACACTTAAAGTAGATTGGCAAGTACGAAAAGTTTTAGTGCTGCTAGTAAAGAATTAAGATGCAATAGGAGCAAGTTAGCCCGTTGAGAAAATTCACAGTAATACGACAATAAAATGCAAGAATATACATAAATATACTAGCAGTAACTATAGATTAAATACAGAAGATCCAATAAATAAGGTGACCATTTTTTTTACAATGAAAAGGAAGACAAAAAGTTTAAGAAAAATGTAAACCGCAAGTAAATGAAACATTTTATTAATTTAAAAAAGTACAACAATTATGTTTGCATCTCTTTTAAATATTTAATTAAAGGAATATTTTCCCATTGAATGAATAATTTTGTCAATATATCATTTTCTAACAAAATATGCTAAAAGTTTCTTGTATTCAACATTTGCATCTTCATCATTTTTTAAAGCAGTCACACGAACCGTAAAACGACTAAAATACAAATAAATTGTCATTATTATTACTTCTACATCAATTGGCATGGCAGATGATGCTATGTTTATTGCATTTGACAAAATATGTGCATTATAACCTATGCCTAGTATTTTCTTTTGGAGCAAATCTTGTAATTTTACATAGCCATTATTTACTCCTTTGCGTCTTCGCCCGCCAAAATTTCTGTTTGTATTATCCGCTGTTAGTGCAACAACTTTTTCTTTTTTTATATTTCATATTGTTTTCATTTATTACTCCGTATAGGTGGTTCGGCAAAATTCCCAGCAGTTTCGCCCTCAATGGACTCTAAATTTAAAAATTTTACGTGAATATCCTTGTTAACATTATAATATCTTACTAATATTGGATATAATTTTGTTTCATTATGATTTGATGCATCAGATAAAACCGTTACAAATGCTGCATTTTTCAAGTCTTCTGCAAGTATATTCAGTGACGTAAATAAATGTATGCAAAGAATGCCGTCGCATAAGGGCCCGAAGGCTTAGAGGGCCCTTGAATGCCCTGCTGAACTACATTTATATGTTTAAAATTAAAAGACAATGGATTCTTTTATAAATACTATATACATAATAGAATCCGTCTTCTTTTAAATTTCCAGGGGCCCTCTGCGTCATATGACATAGTTAGGGGGGCTCTTCGAAGCAGATTAAAAAAAGCTGAATTCAGTGTTACATACACCAAACTTCAAGTGAATACGAAGCAGAAAAGATATGCTTTTATTTTGATTCCCCCCCTAGAAAAGAGCTTTCGCCCCCCAACCAGTATAGTAGTTAGCGTCGCTGACACGAAAAATGTCAAATAATAATTTAAAAAAAACAACAACATAGTTTTCGAAATTTAACTTTCTTTAACTTTCATTCGGTCTCCCGTTTCCTATACTTGGGAAAGTTTTCTAGTCGTTATGAAAAAATAAATTAGAGGAAATTTGACTCCCGTACGACAAAACCTATATTATATTATGGGTTTTGTACCGACAGGATATTTAATTAAAAATGCAATTTTTGATGTCATTTTCAACTTGCTTTGAAGGATCAGGTAATTAAGTTAAAATTATTCGAGGAAATAACTTTAAATGAAATGCAGAAAAAAAAAAAGTGTGTAATTTAATAAACGATACAAGAAAGTCATGTGTCTCCATATCAGATTTTTAACTTATTAAACCTAATTTGATAAAAATCATTATCAAAATGTTGGCTCCTGGGAACCTGGATGTTTTTTTGCGGGAGTTAGTATTGCAATTTTTTTTTGGGGGGGGGGGGGCAAGATTTTTTTAAATTTTATTTATTATTATTATTATTATTATTATTGCGTTGGGGCCCTAGAGTTCTAGTTACGCCACTGAGTATATTATCACGGTAATTTTTTAATACTGATTTAATAATAGCCTCATATTTTGTTCTGGCATGTGAAAATTTAGGATTTTCAAAGTTTTTCATAATCTATAGTTACTGCTTGTATATTTATCTATAGTTACTGCTTATATATTATTATAGAGACATTAAAATAAATTTCGTTGTACAATCCATACTACGAATACTTTTGATTATAAGTTATTGTATGAAATTAAAATGTTCCCTCCATTACAGCTAACTGTTTTTTCTCTTTGGAGTAATTAGAAGTTTTTTAAAAAAATATGTTACTTTACTACTGGGAGTTGATGCGTCTAATGATTGCTTATGTTTGGTGATGTTTAAGTGTTTTAGTTAAGACTCCTATATACCTCTAGAGGAGCCTTAGTTATGGCTGCTTTGCCTCCTATTGCAACACAAAATTCTTTTCTGCGAATATTGCAGAAAACAATGGTGTCTTTCTTTGACACGAGAAATGGAAATTCCTTCTCCAACTGATCGAAATGGCACTTCCTCTTCTTTGATTTTTCCATCCTTTAAATAGAATTAAAAATAAAATATGGAGCTACACGAACAATGTAAACACATTATAAATAAATAAAACTAAATCTATAATAACAAAAACTGTAAAACCTTACTAAATCTATATTTAAATTTTTAATTATCTTATACTTGCGTTGAAAACAGAGTTGTATAATAAAATTAGATTAATGTACAAATTAAACGTGAATCCTATTTAGTAAGACACTTTTGAGTATAATAATTATACAGTGAAAGAAAGAAAGTCGTATTTGCGTCATATGTGAACGCGAACTAAAATATTATAGAGACATTAAAATAAACAAAGTAAAGTGCGTAAAAGTGTGAGGGTGAGAGACAAATGTGGCTGCGTGAAGTTTTGATATGCCCAGAACGTGTTGTGTATGCATCTTATAATCATGTTTTTTCGAACTGCACCATCACATGACGATGGACGCGTAACATTTCGACGCGGCATCTTTAAATAATACAGAGATAAACAGATTATTTGTAAAATATTGAAAAGGAGGACAGTTGAGAGGACACTTCTTGAGAAGGGCAGAGCCTACCAAAGGAATACTGTCCTCCCTAAAGAAGGACGATCGATCACCTTACAGTTTAAAAACAGATTGCATGTTATAAATATTCAGAACAGCCATAGGTCTGTTTAAATTACATAGGCCATTATAATCATAGTCACAGATTTTGATGACTGCATTGTTCTTTTTAGCCTGGCTTTCATGAAATTTCTTGGTAAGGTTGTAGTAGTGGGTTCTAAGCAATGCTAGAAATGATATAGTTCAATTGTCTCAAACGCAACCTTGGCTGGCATTCTGCCAAAACACATAGACTCTTCCAAAAGGAACGTTATTATTTGCTGCGACGTGAAAGGTCAAGTGAGCACCTTCGGAAAGAGAGAATTTATCCATCCTATTTTCAGAAGTCCCTATCCTTCCACCCTATTTTCAAAATAACTCGGTCCGAATGGCGCATGCGTGTTAGCGCTCATGGTCGCGGATGAGGCGGTCGCTTTACTTTTTAAAAGTTGTATTGCGCATGTGTAGGAGCACAATGCGCGGAAGGGAAGCCAAGCGTCATAAAGCAGAACCAGAAGAAGAACAAGAACGGTTATAACTTTGTTGGAGGGAATTTCGAGGAAGAAGTTTTGGTTTCGTGAGTAATTAATTTAATTTGTAAATATTTTATTAAGGTTTATTAAGTTATGGTAGTAGAAATTCTATAATAGTGCTACACCAGAGAAGGTTGCCCGTGTCGCGCAGAACTTGCTTTGAAAGTAAATGCATAGAAATGTGTTAAGTACGTCAGGTAACATTCAAAAAAGTGAATATAAAGAACAGGAGTTTTATTACATTCATAAGAATTTTGGTCAACAGATCTAAAAGACTAATTGAGACTTGTACTGCAGGATGGTCTGTAATTTAAAATGAGATATGTTTCATGATGTGTAATTAAATCTGCTGGGAACAAAAGGTAAAATAGTTTGACTCTTTAGTGGGTTTGTTTGCGCAATGTATGCTGCACCTAAGGTTTTTCAACTCATAAAGTAATGCTAATGGATGTATAATACTTTATTATTTTTTCGTTAAAGTGCAGAATAGCCCACTTCTTTGTTTGGCGCTTTTTGCAAGAGTAAGAAGAATTGGATTATCCGGTGTACAAGAGATTTGGCGACTTCATGATGAGCAGTAAACGGTACATAATACGATGAGTAGTTAAACGGGTCATTTTGGTGTTGGAGATAATTTTCAAAATTGCGCAAGGCTGCACCGTATATTAGAATTTACCGGTAAAAGTTTACAATTGTTTGCCCCTTTTTTTTTTGACGCCAAGATCGACGCAAGGAAAGCACAATTTCAAGATGGCTGCTACACAAAACCAAAATAAGAAGTCAAAGAATTGCACACACTCTGTGTCCATGTACACATCGATCTGTTTTCACTTAAAAAAACAATCCTAGAACTGCACAAAAATGGCATTGTGCACTGTCTTGACTTTATCCATGTACATATCGACCTATTTTCATTTAAATAAAATCAGGAAGCTAAAACAAAGTTAAAACTATCATGGTAGCCAGAAGTGAGGTTTCATCGCCAAAATTTAAAAAAAAGTCTCTAATCGAAGGGGCACCCAATTCTACACTAGAGCCCTTTTAAGTGAAAATAGGTCGATGTGTACATGGATACTCAGTATGTGCAATTCTTAAAAACATGCCAACCAGTGGGTGATTCTGCACTTTCCCCTATTTTTTTAACTGTATGTTACCGAAATGACGAAGTTTCTGTAAGCGGCACCCGGCTTTCATAAATGTTTTGGCACATTCAGGTACTGTATGAGAATATGCTTTTCCTTAAAATTTTACTCCACAGATTTCAAAGACTGCATTTTGAATAAGGTTTTTTTTTTTACTTGACTGAGAAGTTTGAAGACTCCTTTTATTTCTTTTTCCCATTATTTAATTTATTGTCACAACCTTGTATTGGATTTCATAAAGGTTATACATTAACACAGTGGCTTCAAACTGAGGGTCCGTAAATACATTTTAATTATGTACTTGCTCTAAACATGGTATTGTGATTTTACAATTTTAGTTATTTGACCCTAGTTTACATTCCTTTGTTTCCATTAAAATTGAACATGAATAGAAATCTATAAAGGGAGAAAATCTATAAGGTAGGTGATTAATTTACAGTATGGTATCAATCTTATTCAAAGATCTGAAGAAACAGATTTGATTAAATTTTATTTTTACTTGTAAAAAAATTAAGAAGCTCAGTTATAAATTTTTGCACTAAAAACAATGGAAGCACTTCCGCAGAGAACCCGGTAAATGTAAACATCGCCAACTTTGGCGATAATAGTTCAAACCAGGTAACCTATCGGATTTTCGTCCCATTCACTTGTTTCGAAGGTTTGCAACAATTTCTCTTGCGTTCATTTTGTTGAATTATCACTGTCGTTGTTCACATTTGGAAATTTATAATTCTTCTTCTCTTATTTATTATTTTTTCTGAATTTTTTAACAACTAATAGATAGAATATTTTCGTAGATAGAGAACAGTTCTCGGTTCGGGATGAAAGGAAGAAAAACGGGCGGGAGGGGTGAATGCTAATTTTAACACGGCTGTTCACCGTTATGTGTTCTAATTATTAAAAGCTCTAAGAACTATGAGGTTCCAACCGAAAATATTTGTTTCCGAGGCCGCCAAAAATATGCATGTGCATTTAAATAAATGGTTATCAATCTTATTCAAAGATCTGAAACTGGTTATTGTCATCTAAAATTATGAGAATAAATCAATTTTTATGGCGTAAAATTTTAACAAGATAATATATTGTTAATGCTTTCTAACAATAACCTTCAGAGGATGGTAGTGTGTGACATAAATAGATGATTAAATTGTAAAAAAAATATATGATTATCGATGACAGAATTAGTTTGATGACAACCCATGGTCATCAAAATTAGAAACCACTGCTGACGGTAAGGAATATATTTTTCTGGTTAATTGAATTAAGACAAATTTTTTTCGTTTCTCACGTTTAACCGGTTAATTTCAAACATTAATACTATTTATATTTTAATGAATGTTTGGTTGATCTTACATTACGGTAACTGAACTATTCAAATTTATTTTCATCACGTTTAAACGGTTAGTTTTAATCTAATGCTATATCTGTGAATTTTTACTACCATATGCTTGTTTTGTCTGCTAACTTGAATTTACATGCACTAAAAATCAGTTTACAAAAATATCACTTACGGTCGGCTCATCGTCGATGAACCGCGAGCTTGGCGAGTAAAAATGCAACGGCGCCAACGGATTCTTTCCCGAAGCGCCAACGGGTTCTCTGCGGATGAAAACCCAAAAATGGGAAAATTAATTTTTGGGAAAACTTGCAATTGGCCAATGAACATGTAGTCATGTTGTATGAATTTCCCTTCAAAGCTGTAAATTTTATCTGAACCGAAACTCCATCAAGTGTCAAGCTATAGTAAAAAAAGAGGTTTATGATTATTTGCATACAAACTTATGTATTTCAATTTATGTACATAAGAAAATTTTAATAAATAAGAGAAAAAAGGTACTATATTGTCATTATTTATGGTCAAGTTTTGTTCCATGTGAATAGTTGGTTCTTTCTGTTGTGCACTTGCCACACTTTTGGGCATCTGTGAAAAAGAAGCCAAACACATACTGACACCCAGCAGCTGTGACTAGAAATAAATATGTTGCCATCTATAAACTGTTCTTATAAGAAATTATTTATAATTAAAAAACCTGTTTTGGAGCTTCTCTTTCACTAATGCCTAAAAGCTTGACAGGAACATTACGGAAAATTGCTGAAAAGTTTTCATGATTGTTTATTTTTAGCTTAAATAAAAATGTTATTTAATGGTAACTAAGCATGTTTAATTATTTGAAAGAAATCTCACTCTGAAAATTTAATATTTAGCTCTAATGTTATGCTATATTTGTATAACAGAACTGTAACCAACAAAAATGTGTTGCAGGTACTAAACTTTAGATTTCGGGTGGAAAATAAATATAAATTTGAATTGTTTTCTTCTGCATTATTATTGTTTATGTATGTTTTGATAAATAATTAGTAAGTAAAATTTAAAATTAGAAGTTCTCCCACCCCTCTTCCCACCACCAAGCCAAATGAGAAGATTATCGGCTCACCATATTTTTAGAGTGCCCACGCCACAAAGGCACTATATATTTACAAACATTCATGCTTTCTCTGGAACTCAAACCCAGGTTCATACGGTATCACAATAGGCCTCCCTAACCGCTATACTGTCTTAAGTGGCTGGTACAAAATGATAAATATGTATTAAAACTTACATAACTGTACTTGACTTATCCATGAGAAATAATCAAACTAAAAAAAAAAAAAAAAAACTGTAAATCAGAATAAATATTTAGCTTGCAAAAGACTTTGACTGAGAATTTACACACGAGAGGCAGCACTCACGGGAATCGCCATTTCTGTTTAAGGTATGAGGAGGGAGAATGTATTATAGGATCAAAACATTCATTTTCAATTTGCATAATCCATTATAAACAGCACTTCATATTGTGAACAGTGCTAGTGCCTTTTCCAGCAGATAATGAGAACAGTGCTGGTGCCTTTTCCAGCAGATAATGAGACAGTTTCATGTTGCTGGCCAGGATGTAAATGGCATTTTAGGTAAATTTGCAGTAAGATAGAAGGAGCAGACAGACAGCAGTCCAGCTAAGCCAAAGCGTAGGAAGCAAGTAGGGTGAAATCTTAATGCAGACTGAGCTATTGGTTCTTAATGCATTTTGATTAGATAGATAATATTACTGTAAAATTACTATTGTCTGCTTGAGTTTTAGTTCCATTTACATCACCAGAATTATATAAGAGTCTTATGACATGGATTAATCTAGAAATGACACAGTTCAGAAAGAGAGGTTACTATTTTTACAATTGAGAAAGGAAATTTACATTGCTAATTTAATCTTTTACATATTCTTTATTTTTCTTATACACACATTTCTGCAAAATATGTGCAACTTTATAGCTTTGCACATATTTTGCAGAAGTTTAACTTTCGGGTTGTTTATTCTCCCATCAATAAAATTCCGAGTTCCATACTCAAGGACCCCATTCCGGATATGAATTCTTGGGGTATTTATAGGATTCCTTGCCAGTGTGGTTTAATTTACATTGGCCAAACTAAGAGAGCCTTAAAATTTCGCATCAAGGAACATGAGGCATATGTTAGAAAAATGGAAACACAGAAGTCTTCTGTTGCTCAACATTGTTGGTCCGAAAATCACACTTTTTCTGCTGCCAAAATTATTCAAAAAACATCTTCCATTGGGGAACTGGAATTTCTAGAGGCATTTCACATTCAAAAGAATCTTTCTGTTCTAGTTAACGATCCTAATTCCAATCCATCTTTGCCTTTGCCCTTTAAAGAAATTATGTTTTAGTTCTGGTTTCACCAACAGATGGCGCCACTTGCTTATTCTTGCCCAGACTTTCTTATCTTATCTAATCACTATTTCCTATCTTGTTCATTTGTGGTTTTGCAGCTGAGGATGGTGGTTTGGTAAAACCATCGAAACTAGTCCAGTGAAAATTTTGAAAATATAACTCTGATTTTTGTTGTTTGATTTCTGAATTACATTAATAGTTACTGTATTTACATCAAAAAGAATTCTAATTAATGAATATCTCAGAACTGATGAGAATTTTTTTTTTTTTTTTTTTTTTTTTTTTTTTTGCAATTCTTTGTGATTTAAATTATTTGTACAAGATAGGAATTGCTACTGATGTAAAAATTTTCATATAGGCATTTAAAAATGCTGTTCCATGCATTTAATAGTGTTTATAATAATTCGATGCTGTTGATTTTCATTTAAGAACTATTCCGTGTATAAGAGAAGGGATGTGGATTAATCTTAAAGGAATTTAGGTTGTGCTTATGCCAAATAAGGAAACCATGAAAAAGCCTCGTGGCAACCAGTCACTGGGTCTAATCAACCAGTATTCAGCAACCACTTCAGTGGAGAAAGGGCACTTTATTAAGGATTTTTCATGACATGTTTAGTGAATTTCTGATAAATGTCTGAGTTTGTTTTGTGGATTAATTATTGAAACCTTAATTATGAGAAAAAATGTATGACAGCATTTTCAAATACAGAACTCATGTGAAGTAACTAAAGAAATCACTGGCAAAATGTGTTTATATTTATTCTTCTTCGAAATGTGTAATTTTTCCTTCATATTTCATCCTAAGAATTTTCGATAGGTCATAATGTTGCAGATTTAAGTTGTAAGTAATTTCTACATTTTAAGGAAGTAAATTGTGTTAATTGCTACCATGCTGAAGTACAGGCAAAGTTTAAATTGTTTCTCTAAATTGGGAGTGCAGGCAAATTTTAAAATATCTCATTTCAAATATTTCTACCAGTCTATGAATGGCTTTAAAAATGCAGTGTCAAACTTTTCCCTTAATTTGTTACCTCTAAAAATGAACAGTGTTTCTAAGAACATAAATAAGAATTAATATGGAACATCTGTCTAAGATGACCATATCTGCAGATGACCAACATCATCTGAAACCATGGGTTTTTAGTTTACATTGTGTATGCTAAATATTAACTGTATGTATTATAATCTGCTTTTTCATATAATTTCTAATCATTTTCATTTTCAGCATAATGGATGTTTGGATGTACTAGACAAACATAAATCTGTTGTTATCATCATTATCAAAATCCAAAACTCATTTATAAAAATTACTTTATATAGATTTCTTGTAAAATAATCTTAAATATGTCATTATCTAATTTAGATCTGATTAAAATCATTTCTTAGAATTTTTTATAAGTGCCTTGTAAATTACAGCAAACCCTCTTTGAGATGACCATCTGTAGTTCAAGACAGTTTTCACTGTCTGTACTTCAACAAATTAAATATGGATACAGTAAGATCCCGCTTAACGCTGTTTCGTTTAGCGCTGTTTCAGTTTAGCGATCTTTTTTTTTTTTCAACCCGGGGATTCCTCGAAATTGCTCGCAGCACTACGGGGATTCCCCGAAATTGTGCGCAGCGCTAGGTTTCCAAATAACATATCCGAAACAGTGTAGTTGCGTTTCTTGCTTGGTACGGTGCATTACGGACACATTTTTATCATTTGAAACATTTGTTGACCTTATTGTAAGCATAAATTTCTATAATACTATAACGATTAATACAGTGACAAATATTATGATCTTTAGTTTTTATCATGGGTTATAATAAAAAACAAGAAAAGAAAGCAACCAGAAAAAGCATTTCACTGGAAACTAAAATGCAAGTGATTAGAAGATTAGATTCTGGTGAACGTCAATCTCAAATTAGGTGCTGCATTGAATTTGGCAACTTCAACAATAAGGACAATTCTTAAGAATAAAGAAAAAATACTGTCATGGCAACTGCAGCTACGTCAAGCTCTGCAACTAGAATTAACTGTTCTACAAATAACATTATAGAGGAAATGGGAAAACAACTGTCTGTATAGATTGACGACGAAATTGAGCGCAATAGGCCATTAAGCCAAACTATCATAATGCCTTCTTGACAAAAAGTCAGAAAATTGGAAACACAGAATAGACTGAATGATCTAACTGACTTAGAATTTTATTTGTTTTTATAAGTATATTCGTTTATATTGTTTTATTTTTGTAAGAAATGAATGTTTGGTTTTATTTTTATTAAAAAACATTATTAAATTTAATAATTAACCAATTTTCTACCTATCTTCCCCTAACCCCATTATTTACATGTTAAGATAGCCTCGTTTAGCGCTGTTTCGCATTACGCTCTACTTTGATGGAACGTATCCCCCGCGTTAAGCGGGGTCTTAGTGTATTCGTGTTCTCTGAAATGCTAGTCTTAGGGAGAGATAGTCATCAAAAGAGATGTTGCTGTCTGTATGTAATAAGGACAAATTATATATCACAATGATGTTAAATGCTACAATTTAAGCATCTCTCATAATTTTAAAAAGAGCATGTATTTTCTTTTTTTAATTTTGTTGTGTTGATTAAAATTTCTCCTTATTTATAAATCTAGGTTACATTTTGTAAAGATGCCACCGAAGTATATCGCTGCTGGATTTTTGTATGATGCAGAGAAACTTTTGACGGATTTCATCGCTGAAAATAGTGTTGAATTTAAGGTTTTTTCCACCGTGTGGAGAAAACATTACTTTTCACTTATATATATGTATGTGCATGTATTATTCATAGCATATAATTTCATTATTTATACAGTTTGATATATATATGTAATATTAAAAGCACAAGGAAAAGACGGAACACTAGATGCGTGCTTAGATCCATATTGAAGAATAATTTGATTGCGTAGTATTTAAAGAACTTGGCAGTCGAGGCAGTTTTAATTCCATTTTTATTTCCAATTGATATTTGTGGCCACAATCACTTGGCACTCTAGTCGTGCCTTTCCACAGAAGATTTACATTTTTGATATTGTTGGGATAGAAAGCAAGCCAGCGAAATTACATCTTAGCACAGTAGAGAGCAAAAGCTGAAGCGCGTAGTTATGAAAGATGGAAGCACGCGAAGAGAAAAGTTTTGGTTTACAAGGACAGTTTCAGTTCTTAATTATTACGTCATCAGAGTTGCGCCGATCATAGAGTGATCTAGAAATGACGCAATGCAAAGAAGTTATTACGATTTTAGAATAGAGAGGAAGAATTATAAGAATTAATGTTTATAGTTTAATCTATAATTTTGATTCATATATTTTTATCTTACATATTCCCCCCTTCAAAAAGAAAAAAAAAAGGTTTTGTTTTTGTTTGTAGCGACAGAGAAGCCTTTTTAAAGAAAAAAGAGTTAAAGCACAAGCAAATTAAAAAAAAATATAAATAAAATAATAAAATTTTGATCCTGTAAAGTATTATTTATAAATATAATTTTTTTTTTTTTTAAATAGATTCTTAATTTTTAGAGTCCTATTGAATTTTTCAACATTTCAGTCCAAAAGTCTTTTTGTTTGAGAGTTCACATAATCATAATTTTTCAGGGAAAGTTCTTGTTATCGCAGAATATCACAAAATAAACTTTTACATAATCATTACTTATAATTAAATGTAATGCATATAAATATTTATGATATTAATTTTCATATTGTATTGATAAATATATTTTAATACCATATAATAATAGGAGTAAGCTTCAGAAATTATGGTTTCACCGTTATCATCTTTCATTTACAATTCCTGATTTTACCAAACTGGAAGCCTCACAATACTTCTTAACAAACATATCCATCAATAGGGCTGTCCTCTTGAGCTAACCAGTGTGTTCTCTGCACTGGTGGCCCAGGGTGCCTAGACAGTTACTTGAAAAGGCCTCCGTTCCTTGCATTAAGGTAACTGGCCTTTGAGAACTGCACTAATACATTCCATAATAAAAAAAATAAAAAAAAAATAATAATAATAATAATAAAAAATTTACATGCATTCATAAAATGAGAGCCTCCAACATTATCTTGCATGAAGATGGTAAAAGGAACAACTGTACAGAGGTAATTACAGGCCTCTGTTGAAGGAACCAGTATACCCTAATCATCCTATACTTAACACACAATAAACCATAAATTTTAACATGCATTTACCATAATTTCATATTACCTATCTGTACTAATTTCACTTATTTTTAACATCTTTATTTTTAGAATAATTATAAAATTCGTATTCAAAATTCTCAACAAAATTTCAAAAACATAAAAACTTATCTTAATATCCTTCCCTATGAATAATTTATATAGCTTAAAATTAATTACTTAATTTGCTCACACATAATTATGAAAAATTAGAAAAATTAATGAACAAGAATTTCAGATTTTCTCAAAACAAATTGCAGAAATTTTAACCAAAGTTGAAATATAAACTATAGAATCCGCAGCACATTAAATAATTTAGTTCCTGAGCTAGATTCACACGAATGTAATAATTTTTGAGCTGTTGAAAAAGCAGAAGTGCAAATAATTTTCTGTCGCACATACTTGCAAACACTAACTCAGATCGATCTTGAACCTGCTGTAATGCTTAATTCCTACACGGTAATTCACTGATGATTTAAAGCACTTTTTTTCTAAATATTGTAGAGATCGGCGAAGCAAATTCAATATTCCTTTTCACTAGGCATTCGAACTTCTCAATTTATCGGGAGATTACTTTCAATCTGTAAACATTACGCGTGATTATTTTTTTGAAGCACTTGCAAAACACCACAGCAGAAGAATGATCTGTTATTTTTTAAACACTGAAAAAGCAAACTTGACGATTCACTTCTTTCACATTATCTTGGATTTATCACAAAACGATGATTTGAAGAGCTGAATTAAATTTTCCATTGAGGTTTCAGGCTGCAGGAAACTATCCTGCCGGCTTAATTGTAATATTAAAAGCACAAGGAAAAGACGGAACACTAGATGCGTGCTTAGATCTAGAAAAATTCTTCTTCATATATATATATATATACACACAATACGAAATCCGAGATCCGGACTCATCGAGACTTTGTTGATTCTGGGTTCGGCATATTTCCTGGATATTGGATCATCATTTAAATCTAGTAAGATGACATGTAGGAATTATAAGATTAAAAATATAAAATGGTTTATAACTTTAAGTGTTATAAGTTATTTAAGAGTAAAAAAAAAAAAAAAAAAAATCAAAATCAAAATTTACAGGGGAAGAAAAAAAGAAATGCTCAGTATTTATTGATTTGCTTTATTAAATATTTCTTTCTATGCAGGTTTTTTAGGTTGCATCATTTTTTGAGCTAATACTTTCTGTTTAATTTTATATATTTCTTGTTCATTTACGAAGTTCCATTGTTCAAGTTCTCTAATTGCCATATTGAGAATAACCATTAAATTGCCAATCGATTTTTGTTCCCCCCTCTCGACAAACTATCACTTTCTTCATTTTTGGTAGCTTTGTTTTCCAGATATAGAACAGTGCTATGGATTTTACCATACGTACATTTATTGATTATTGGAGCATTGTCATCATAATGAAAAACTTCTTTTGTGTCGTCTTCATTTATTGCCACTTGTCCACATCTCTTTACAAATTCCATTAATTGGAAATTTTGCTTTTTGTTTGCTATATCTGAAAACGTTAAAATTTGTGGCTGCTATCATAAAGCTTAGCTCCATTATGCACTATTGGTAATGTATCCTGAGACTGACGACTAAAGACATATTGTTCTGTTAAATTATTTCTCTCTTCTGTTGCACGCTGATGAAGTTAAGTTTGAATTTAGTTATTTATTATACTTAACCCATTTTTCACATGCTTAAGATGTCCCAAATAAATAAATTTCCATGTATACTTAAGGTTTACCCAGGGTCAGTATCAGATATTTTGCATCTTGATGCAGTCTCTGCAAACCTGAAATTCTGCTGCTGAATGCCTCCTTAAATTCTAAAAATTTTGCATCCCATTGCCTTCCCTAAATTCTAAAGATTTAGACATTCCTTAATTTTGTTGCTCGATGTTTCTCCAAATCAACAAAACTTTGCCTTTCTTAAATTTAAAACTTGCCACCTGGATAATAAATTAGTTGTTCTTATTTCAAACAGCATTAAATATAATCTTTTGACCTGAGAGTATCATTTACAAAATATATATTTTGCGTATGGAAAGAAATTTCTCATCATTACACTGAACGCTTCCCAGTGGAGCTAGCTGAAATCTGTAATCACCGTCAAGTGTAATGCCAATATAAAAGATTACCGCTCTTTGGTTTTCAATTACTACTAATAATAATTAAACAAAATGCTTAAATATCGCTGCATGTGTCATTTCTCAAACTACCATGCATTGATAGTCATGAGGGATAAAAAAATAATAAATAATGTTTCACGAGGTTGGCATCTGGGATATAAATTATTCAGTAGACGTAAAACCGATGTTTCGATGTAAATGCTTCCATTTCAAATGTATGCCAGATCTAAGTGTGTAAAATGTCAAAATCATGAAATGTGAATAAATATTAGTAATAAGCAATGCATCTTGTCAAACAAAAATTAGTCATTGATCTTATTTAGTGCTTTAAATGGGTTATAGATTATTGCATTTTGACTGCATAGATGAGTAAGTGACTGTCTCACTATAAAAATTATATATGAGGTAGAATCTCAACAAACTCTTATCCTGCATTACCTAAGATAAATCTGCATATGTGATCTCCAGTTTCTCTTAAATTGATAAAATTTATGCCATGAACTGCATGCAGATGTGGTTTCCAAAGTGGAGGTCACTTGTGGTAAAGTACTAGAGGGATCAAAAGAAAAGTTTCAAAATAAAATAAAAACACCTTGTTAAATCATTTACTATTTTAGTAACATAAATAAAAATATAACAAACAAAATAAGGATGAAATCTAATTTAACTTCTGACAATTTAAATATAAATTGCAAATGTGTATCATATAAATTTTAATATTTTGAATTATTTGAAATTATGTCAAGTTTTTTTACTCCAAGGTAGTTTCAGAATTTTTTAAATGGGGACATAGTCACGCCTGAAGAACTGCAGAGAATAACAAAACTTATGCGGTTTTGAACTGATTGTCAAAGAATATCTGCAAGAAATTAAAAAACACATTTTTTTTTTTTTATCTGCTGATATTGAAAATATATTTTATTGCCAAAAACCACCAGTAGGTTGTTAATAGTACGTGGACAGTTAATCTACAAGTACCACTTTTTCTTATTGTACAATTACCATCAAAACTGTACTTTTCTATATTTAATAGCAGTAAAACTTGGCAACATGTAGTTACTAAGATGCTATTGAACATTATGGCTTATCATTATGACATGTAAATAAGCCAAAATCAATTATAAAAGTCAAATATAAAAAATACTGCAACTTTGGAAGAAAGCTGAAACATTAACAGTCTTGCACATTATGTGATATTAAATCTATGGAGAACTATAAATGCAGTATTTATTGATTAAAATAATTCTCACAAGTTGGGGGGGGGGGGGGGGAGCGAATGGAAGACAAGTTTGATCACATTTTTAAAAAAGTCCATTGCATCTAGTGTTTATCAGTAATTTTCATTGAAATGAAATTATGTTGAAGCATTGGGTAGTGAATTTTGTCATATTAATTTTGAACATTTTTTTTAATAAGTTAAAAATTGCCATTTGGAACATTTTCCAAGATAAGAGAAATTTAAATAAAAAAGTTCTTTTCAGAAACATTTGTAGAATGAGCTAGCAAAAACAGAGCACAGAGCTTTTCAAAACATATATAGTACTTGTATGTTTCTAATATTCATCTCTAATATTACTTAGAAATATATTCCTTTTTATGTAATGTATAGTTACTTTTCTCACAGTGAAATGCTGAATTTCATCATAAGCATGGAAAAAAGTTAAAAGAATTTTTAAACATTAAAATTAACTTTCAAACCAATTTTTATAGTTTCAAATTAATCTTGTTCAAATTTTGTCATCTAATCTTTAATAGTGATTAGCAAAATTACATTTCTTCATGAAGCAGTTGCTTTTTGCCATGTATTATGGATTATTAAGACATACAGTTATCTAACATTATCGCATATAGTTATGGAATATAATAATATATAAAATTGTTAATGCTTCAACTTTATTTCAAAGTTGAAATATTAATAGTCCTGTACATTATGTGATATTAACGTATTGAGAACTAGAAATCTGATATTTATTATCTAAAATAATTCTCAGAAATGGGAAAAGAACTAACAGAAAACAAGTTTGGCCAGATAAAAAATGTATTGCATCTACTGTTTCTGAGTAATTTTCATAGAAATGTAATTACATCGAAGCATTGGTAGTGAATTTTCATATATTAATTTTGAATATTTTATTTTTTAAATAAATTAAAATTTGCCAGTTGGAACATTTTGCAAAATTAAATTCAAATAATAATATTTTATTGGGTAAATCTTTTCAAAAATATGTATGTATGTAGAATGTTCAAGCAAAAATAGAACTTTTCAAAACATATTATAGTAAGTGGTCACTTTTCTCACAATGAAATGTTAAATTTCATCATGGCATAGGAAAAAAATTGAAGAATTTTTTTAATATTATTTATTACAGGAAATGCCAGTCAGTTTTCACACTGTTTCAGATTAATCGTGTTCAAATTTTGTCATCTAATCTTTAATAGTGATTAATAAAATCGCTTATCTTTATAAAGCTGTTGCTTTTTTCCAGGTGGTGTTAGTAATTTTTTTAAGCTACATAAGTTAACTGGAGAAAAAAAAGGTAAATTGCCAAATAATTGCCAATTTTTGTTTCCAGCATTTATAGCTGCCATACACTGGCAGCTATAAATGCTAGAAACAAAAATTGGCGATTTAGTAATTCTGTTAAAGCTAATGTTCTAATTAAAATTGAAAATTAAATTCATCATGGATTATAAGCAAAAATTGCTTCATGCAATGCTTGTTAAAAATCATTTTGAAGATGAACATGAAAATTCATTTTGAATAAGTGCATATTTTTATTAATGCAAGTGTACAAATAAAATTATTTAAATGGATTTAGTAGAAGTAGTGCAGGAACTTCGGTTTATACCTTTTTATATTTTCCTAGAATTTAAGATATGCCATAAAACTTTTTAAAAGTTCAACAAAGATAAACCATATTTGAAATTTATTATTATCTTTCATACTAAGCATCACAGAATTATTTTGTGTCCAACTAATAATCAGGTACTATTTATGATTATTTTTCTAGGGGAAGACCAAATGAAAGAGAACTATCTGAAGTATGTTCATCTTTTTTATTATTACTAAACATTCTTTTTCCAGATGGTTTTTTTCTAAAATATAAGCTCTTTTATCTAATGAGTTGAGCATAAATTACATGTGCTTTCAATAAATTCCTTCATAATGATTTTTTGTAAAGAACTGCTGAATTTTTTATAACTGTCAGGATAGCAAAAGTTATTTTATTTGTATTTTGGGCAGTAGATAGTATTTTAATAAGCCTCCTTTTGGTTACTTCATGTTTAAAATTATCCTATCTTTAAGAATCATCTGCTTGTCACAGTATTTTTTAGTTCCTTTTTTATAATACTGTTTGTAGCCTGCTTCAGAAAATTTTTTAAACTTTTAGATTAAAAATAAGTCATTTTTTTAACTGGAAAGAATTTTAGGATATTTAATACATAGTGATATATGTTCAGTATTCTAAATTTTTATTACTATTTTTAATGAATTTAACTTTTCTGTAGCAAGAGTAATTCCACATATTTTATATCTGGGTAGAAAAAGATGATCTATCGAATCAGAATGGATTAGAGGAGATGATATTCTCAGTTTAATGGCTGAACCAGTTAAATTACATTGATGTGTAATGAAATTCTAACTGACTAGATATCTGTACTGTATATCCACTAGAAACTGAGTGAGTGATTAGTATAAACAGAGCTTAAATTGCTCCTGTACTTCTCTGTTTATGGGATAAATAATAATTCTAACCGGAGCACCCCCAGAGACCTTAATAGGAAAGCTCCGGCACTTCTTTTATGTAATTAAGGAACAACAATTTCAGTAGAAATTTGATCTAAAAAATTTTATTTTTAGCAGCAATAAAATTATATTAAAAGTCGCTTATTAAATTTTAATTTACCTCTTTTTACCTCATTTTAATTATTTAATTATTTTAATGGAAATCCATCATTAATTAATTGATTAAAGATTAGATAATAATTAATAAATATTAATTAGATAATTATTTATTAATTTGATAATAATTAACTGTATAATTTTTAAATTGTTAATGATTTTAAAAGTCATTTTATTTATTTATTTACTCTTCTTTCTTTTTCCTGACGGTCTTCCATAGGGCTCTTGCACTTCTAATTTTAGAAATTAAGCCCTGAGTATAAAGGGTGATAAATAAATGGACTGTGCGTGTGGTTTCAATACATTTTGAGATAAGGAAAAAACTGTTGTATTCGTTGATATATTTGTCTTTTGTGCATGGCTAGTTATCTGTTTTATTTGCAAATAAGCATATAACCTTCAAATGTGAATGGGTACAGTAATAAGTCCACCATCACTGAACTCATTCACATTTGAAGTTTGTTGTAAAGACCTTGTTGAACTTTTTCTTTGATTATTGGAGTAGTGTCGTTATCTGTTGGGTGCTGAAAGCACCAGACAGATTGCTGTTGTTCACTGCAAAAGAATTGAGCATTTGTGGAAGCAGGTTAAGACAATCAACCTGGAATGTTATCTTCAGACACAATTCTTGTGCAGGAAAATGTTAGACCGCAAATAGCATCTGATACCATGATAGAAATATAACAATTTCATTAGGATATGCTACCGCACTTTTTTCTTCAGCCTGCGATTCTGACATTTTCAGCCTTTTTAAGAGGACTTATGATGGGAAGTACTTTGTATCAAATGTTAAAATGCATTTTCTTTATGGCTTAATAATCAGGTTGTTAAGAGGTTTACAGAAAATGAAGTAATGTTCTAATGTACCTATATTATTATTATCTCAACAGCTATTAAGAATATGTCAGTTAAAAACACTTCTGGAATTACTATCAGTAGTCTATTTATATTCATCTACTATACATCCTACTTTAGTAATAATCCATATAACTGCATCCTAGTATTGGTCTATTTGTCATCCTGTTTTGGGAACCGGAGTCATATTATTGTGAGTTAAATTCCCAGGGATTAGCAGGGGAACATGCTGCTTTATACTAATTCAGAAGACAAACAACAAAAATCAGCGTTATATTTACAAAATTTCCACAGGACTAGGTTCGATGGTTTTACCGAACCACCATCCTCAGCTGCAAAACCGCAAATGAAAATTATTCATTTGCGGTTTTGCAGCTGAGGATGGTGGTTCGGTAAAACCATCGAACCTAGTCCTGTGGAAATTTTGTAAATATAACGCTGATTTTTGTTGTTTGTCTTCTGAATTAGTATTTATTCGGCCTGTTATTGTGTCTTAATTATGCTGCTTTATGCTTGGATATTTTTATGCTTTCTGTAAATGTAATGTATAATACAAACGTGTAGAAAATCCTCCATGAAGGCATCCCCTCCTAGGCAAATGCATACAATAATTAACCAAAACCATTTACATCATTTAGGAAAACTATTCTGTATGCTAAGAGCAATGTATATAATTACAAAACAATTTAAAAAATATATAAACATGCATGGTATTTTTGCCCATTAAGCTGCTGAAAAATTATCAGTAAAGACGTAAGAAAATTAGAATTAATTTTAAAAATTAGTTCTAAATTTCTTACTTTATGTGGTGTGTATATATATACACACACACACACATAAAGTATATATATATATATACAGTTAAAAGCCTTTAATCCAGACTCGTCGGGACTTCGGCGAATCCGGATTATCGGTTTTTCCGAATAATAGATCATCAGTTTAAATCTGGTAAGATGGCATGCAGAAATTATAAAATTAAAAATATGAAATCATAATTTATGAAATAAAGAGTAATTATGATCTAAAGTGTATCAAAATTTACAAGAAAAAAAGCTTTATATTCATTTGTTTACTTCATTTAATATTTCTTTCAACGCGCGCATGCATAAAGCATACATTACGCATAGTCGAAATTAGAAAATTGTAACCAGAAAACTATTTGATGTGTATTCGTGATATTTATAATGACGAGGAATTTGATTTAAATCATATCAATGACAGAGTACATCGAGATGAAATACTACATTTAGTAAGAAATTATAAGCCGAATAAAATAAAAACATCTGCCCTGAAGATAAGGATAGTGCTGACAGATAAACTTCCAGTTCACTGCGCGCCGCGTCGTTCCTTCCCCCTCCCCCACAGAGCAGCGTGAAATTGATAAACATATTTTGGAATGATTAGAGAATCAAAGGATATGCCTTTATCCATTTTTTGCAGCAATTCCACTTTTTGTTTGATGGACATCGAAACATGCTTTCGCTTTGTAGATCCTTTGGTTAGCTCCAGAATCGGAAATTCTTTTTGACATAATCGAAAGTTCAAGCTTACTTTTATAAAATTGCTCTAACAGCCTGCAAAATATAATAAGTTAGATCCAATTCAAAGATTAAGGAAGAACGCAATCTGCAACATTAACTGAAATAGATAATTAGATAATTTTAGCTTAGCTTATACTGTCTATTATATGTATTATGCACATGTGTAAAGGTATTACGCGAATGCGTAAACGCATATGCGCATGCGTCAATGCATTATGCATTGACGCATGCGCAGAAAGTTTGTAGCTTTGAGGTCCGGATTATGGACGTCCGGATTAAAGACTTTTGAGTTTTAACATTTTTTAAATTCTTTGTTGCATTTATAGGATTATTTGAAATTTATTAATTATGAATTTCAATTTTTGGTCTTTGTGAAAAATGTGTTTTAAATTTCTTACTTTGTCTTTAATGATAATTTTTCGGCAGCTTAATGCGTGAAAATACTAGGCATGTTTATTTTGTTTTGTAATTATGAACTATAAATATATAATTAATTTCTTTCATTTTCTATTTTTATTATAAAGATTTTAATTGAACACTTACAGCAGTTTCAATATTTAAAGTCCTGTGCCTCTATGCCAACCTAAAATGTAGAAAAATTGTGTTTTCAAAACATTCGTTTTCTTAAGATAATCTTAAGTTTTTTTATAGATCGTCAGTGTTTTTCAACACTGAGGATATCATTCCTTTGCTGCAAAAAGATGGATATAAGAAAATTATACAGGCATTCCAGATATAATTGATAGAATTTCTTGGCTAACAAATAAGCTGTTATTTGGATGATGTTCAAGAATATCTATATAAGCAATTATTGTTTACATGTTTAGCATTTTTTTATTTTCTCAAAAGCAGTGTAACTTTTGAAATTTCATAAAATTTTTGGGGAGTTTTAAAGGAAACTATACTTGTTATTGAAAAAGAAAGCTGTTCTACTTAAGTTTTGTCTGAACTTAAATTTTACTTTCTTTTACTGTAGTTTACATCAGAAATTTTCCGTATATCATTGCCATTTCTATACCCTGAATTGCCATTTTTGCAAAATGTTGGAGGGGTCTTTTTATTGTATGGCCTTTTCAGAACTCAGATTTTAGATCCACCTGTAAGGGTAAGTATTTATTTATTTTGATAAAGTGTTACACTTTGCTTGTGATATTTTTTTATATGCTTGAATTCTTGAATGAAAAAGATATTTAAATTGTTAAACTTTCATTTTTGTAAAATACTGCAGAAGATTCCAAACTGGTAAAAAAGGAATTCCGCATAATTTCCAAAAAAAGTATCTTTACATTCATACTCCAATTCGTGACACAGTTAAAACTAAAAAATTTCAAAAATTTTACTCAGCAGTTTAGACCCTAAATTAAGTAACTGAAGCTTGATTTGTAATGGAATGTAAGAAATATAAAATATATGTTTAACCCTGGAACATTGATTTAGTAATTTAAAATGAATAATTGCAGCAAAAATAAAATTAGTCTTTTTTCTCCCCATTTTCTAAACCACTTTATGTATTTCAATTCATATTGCTCAACAGTATGAAATATATTTTTTCATGTCTTTAATTGCCAAAAATATTCCCAAGGCTTATCAGGAGAAAGCCATTTATTTGAATTAGTTCTGCCCCCATTAGTATTTTTTCACTTACAGAAGTAAATAGCTATAGACTGGTATTTATTTTTCTTTTGTGATTAAATATATGTTGTTGTAAATTTATGTAAACATTTGTGTTTACTTGATTTTTTATGTATTTTGCATATTTTATGTAATTTTGTATTGCATTTTGTTTAGCTGAAGCCTCTTATTTTGACTGTAAATATTTATTTTTTGTATTATACTGTAGATCTTATAATTGATTGATGTTTGAATTGTAAAAATTAAATAATAAATAATAATAATTAAAACTAATATGCAGGCAAAAACCGTACTACTGAGTCTTGGTGACGTTTGGTGACTTCATGCCACCTTGGCAGCATTCTGGATATTTTCAGAAAATGCATTTTTGAAGCTTTAAGCGAACTTTCAAAGTTTTCAGAAATGTTTGGGAAACTTTATTAATACATTTGGCCAACAGTGAATCAGACATGATAAGTCTGATTAACTGGCTGGCTTGTTAAATTAGTTCTTGGGGAAGATAAAAAATGGGATTTGGGCTTCTTGCTTAGTGATTAATGCTTTGTTGTGCAAATGATTTTGGTGATCTGCCATCTTCTTCACATGTTAAGAAAAATTTGCCTTATCTTTGTTTTTTTAAAACTATTTATAGGCATTCACCTTGCTGTAGAGCTTTTATTTAATTAAGTAAAGTGTCATTTTCTTCCGTTTCAGCTTCGTAGTTATTAAGAAGTTCTGTACAAACCCATAGTGCACAACAGTACCATTAACTAAGCATTAAGTTTCAAGAACTTTATTTTGATGCTAGTTTCTCCATATCTAATTAAAATTTTACTATGTGAAAACTTTTCTTCATATATTTAGACTATAAATTTGAGTTTAAGAAATATCCACATTATTAAGAAGAGATCTCTTTTTTTTTATCTCTACATTTCCATAAATCTTTACAACTTAAATTAATAGGCGATTTCGTATTCAGCCAATAAAAATTAGTAAAATATTGAGTTGTTTTTGTTTAGCTACCATTTAGTTGTTGTTTAGTATTGTGCTATCATATTAGTTTAATTTTCACTTTAATTAGCTGTAAACTATTTTGAATTTTCTTGTGATTTGTCTGCTTCAGATTTAAAAAATATTTAAACAGACTTCTATATAGTAATGCAGACAGTTTGCAAACAGTATTTTTAAGGTTTCCTTTATTTTCCTCATAACATATCCCAGAATTTTTTATAAATTAGCAGAAAGTTACTCTCTTCTGCACATAAATGTTTAAATAATTAGTGATATAAACTTCAACTCATGAACTAAGCAACATGATAAAAGCTGCAGAGAATTTAGAAGGAATAACACAAAAAAGAAAAAATTACAACTTTTTGGGAACAGCAAGAACTTGGTGATTTAAACTAAAAAGGAAAATTCAAAAAAATAAAAATTTAATAAATTAATATGCAAGAGAATAGAATAAACAAAAAAATGTTGTTACATGTTTTGTAACATCTTTTCTGTGGATTGATGTCTCAAGGTAATGCAACAGGACACAATATTAAGTTGTTCTTTATTTAGTGCCTGAGAAGTGTCTGTCCTGTGTCAAATTTTTGCGACACTAAACCTCTGAAGAGATGTTGCGAGTTTAACACTTCATTTTAGTTTTTAAGTCCTTTTTTTTAATTATTATTCTTATAATATAGGGTACTGAGTTCTTGTTTTATTTATTTTTAATTTTCCTTTTTTCTTCAAAATATGAAGTTCTAGCCATTCCGCAAATATTATATATATATTTTTTTTCTTTTTTTTTTTGTGTGTGCATGCAAGCAAAATTTAAAAAAAAAATTCTTGTTTATTAAATGTCACCTTTCTATGTTTACTGCTTTAAGAGAATGCCAAAATCTTCTGGAATTGTGAGATTAACGATGGTTTTTTGTAATTATCCGAAATTTTTGCTATGTTGTTATAACTAAAAAATTGGAAGACGATAATTGGGAGATACTAAAAGAAGACTGAGCAGTCATGATAAGTTGTTGTTCATCAAAAGAGCAGACTGCAACTGTGCTGATTTCCAAAAGTTAAGCAATAAATTGACGTGATAATGGCTACAAGTAGTTCAATATTCTTTAAATTTTGGAAATGTTATAAATAAAAGAGAACTGCACTGAATAGTATTATACAAATGATTGGCTGTGCCATCGTTTTATGTAAATATGATGCATAATAAGACAAGCTATTTAGAAGGGAATTGTTGTTCAATGAACAATGATGTTTTAAACAATTTTGAGATAGTCAGAGTGTAAAAATTAGTTTGAGGCGATTTTTTTTAAACATTTTGACTATCTAAAAATTGTGTAATGAAAAAAGTTAGTTTGAGGTGAGCCGCCCAGATAATACAGTGGTTAGGGGAGCCAACTGCAATACCAAAGGATCCTGGTTTGAATCCTGGAGAAGGCATGGTTATGGCTGTCCCGTTCCCTTCATAGGAAGTAGTGATGGCCGCATATTAGGTGCCTCCACAATAAAATGTCCACCACTTCTGGCCTCAGGACTGGCCATTGTAGAATACACAGGTGCCCACCATTAGATTAAAAAAAAAAGGGCTAAAGTGCAGAATTGCCCACTTAAAGGCGCGTTATGTTTGATGCTTTTTACGAGATTGATAAATGTGACAAATGCTATCCAAGTCAATTTTGCCGTTCTGGAAGGTGAATTTCAGAGCATTTTCGCGCATGCCTAGTATGTATTTTGAACTGAGAATTTCTTTTGAGCGCGAAATTCGGAGCATTTTTGTGTATTTCGTATGTATTTTAAAATTTAGAATTTCTGATTGGTGTAGATGATAAGAGATGGTAGAGGTGCAGTTATTTTAAACAATAATTCGAGAACATTTCGAGAATTCGTTACTTTTCTTTCTCCGGATAACCGGAGTGGATTACCCCTTTTCAGGTGGTGAAATTATTTTTTTTTCATTGTTTGTAATGATTTTAAGTGTTTGAAACGATTTTTGTTTTTAAAATTATGTTTTTGTAAGGACGTATTTTCATATTTTAAAATTTTTGGGAGGAAAGTATTAATTTTTCAGGGTTTTGTAAGATTTTATGTTCTTTAAACTTCTATTTTTGAAAATTTAAGTTTTAAGTTATTAGGTTTTTTGAAGGTTTCCATTTTAAAAATTTCCCCACTTATTTGTGTGGCTTTTTACAATAGAAGAAGAATGGATTTTTGTAATTTTTTTGACTTTTTAAGTGAACTAGGTGAGTATACATGGATAAAATCAAGAGAGTGCGCAATGCCATTTTTGTGCAATTCTGGGATGTTTTTTTAAGGGAAAATAGGTTGATGTGTACATGGATAAAGTCAAGACAGTGCGCAATGCCATTTTTGTGCCATTCTGGGGTGTTTTGTTAAGTGAAAATAGGTAGATGTGTACATGGATAAAGTCAAGACAGTGTGCAATGCCATTTTCGTGCAATTCTGAGATTTTTTTTAAGTGAAAATAGGTCGATATGAACATGGATACCGAGTTTGTGCAATTCATAAAAATGCGTCAACTCTTCTGCACTTTCCCCAATTTTTTTTAATAGGTGAATGTATTTCAATTCTTCATGTTGGTATGCATATAATGATGGACTGTCGCCAATAGCACGATAAACTGTGTGAACTGGAAACGTTAATTGTGTCTGTGCGAAAGAGTTAATTGTGTAACACACTCATTCTTCACACTTATTTTTCTCCCTCCTTCAGGACAGGACAGTGATATGACACTCTCTACAATATAACTCCTTTTTCAATATGTATTTGGAATACTAACAAATTTTTA